GAAATTGGAGTGCCTCACCACCTTATCTATCTCCTGAGAAACCTATATGTGGGATAGGAAGCAACAGTTAGAACTGGATATGGAACAACTGATTGGTTCAAAATTGGGAAAGGAGTACGACAAGGCTGTATATTGTCCCCCAGCTTATTTAACTTATATGCAGAATACATCATGTGAAAGGCTGGACTGGATGAATCCCAAGCTGGAATTAAGATTGCTGGAAGAAGTATCAACAACCTCCGATTTGCAGATGATACCACTCTGATCGCAGAAAGTGAGGAGGAATTAAAGAACCTCCTGAGGGTGAAAGAGGAGAGTGAATCTGGCATGCATCCTTCTTATTTATATCCATGCAAATTCTCAAAGTGTTAAATAAAGATTGTTCAATCCCTGTCAGCTGGTGGGCACATTTGGACTTCTGAGTATTGTGGCTGCTTTCACAAAATGGCTGTTGTTGAGGAGGGACAATTACCCAGGCATAAAATGACCTATCATGACCATCGCAATACACCCCTTTCTGAGATGTCAAATTGGTAAGGGTTAAGAAACACTAACTTGCCCCACAGCCTAAGTAAGAGGCAAAAGTTGAGTCTCAGTTTCCTGTTTGGATGCCTATTTCACAGAAGATGCTCAGAGACAAATGACATGACCAAGAAACTAAAATGGGGTGAATCCCCCATTCCTTATCATTATCATATAAGTATTAGCCCCCACAAAACATAAGAACATGCATTTCACATAAGTCTCAGAGAAACACAGGCATATAAAATACACACTTCGTATCAGTTTCTTTTAACAGCAGACAAACCATAAACCTTATCTCAATAAATTAGCTCACATTTTCTCTCCCTCAGCTGCATACATATACACCATTCCAAAATAACCACCGCTAAGTACAACATAGACAAAGAGCAGAGGCAAAATGCACCACTTATGTTTTCTAATTATGTTTCTGTACATGGAAATAAATATAAATAAATAAATTCAGAGCAATAAAGACTGGACTGAAAGACAGATCTTTGGCTTTGTAGCACACCAGACTTTTAGTTAATTTTTAATGATGTTCTTTAATAAATAAAATAAAATCAGTTGGGAGTTGGGACTAATGGATGCAAGGAAGGCATCCATATACACAGTGGATCTTGTAACCCCTATGTTGGGGTTAGAGGTTATAGGATGATGATTAGCAGGAATAAATACAACTGGTGCAATTTCCCCGGTTCCTAGATCACGACTTTTAATCTACGATATTATCTGGAATGCAAATACTGTAATATACTGTGGAATGCAAATACCTGCCCCACACATGAAAAACATTTCCCATGCACAGTTGATATTTCCAGAATCACAGCAACATTCAATGTGTGGCACAGTGGTTAAACTGCTGCACTGCTGCCAAAACTGTGCTCTTGACCAGAGTTTAATTGCAGGTAGTTTTCACTCAGCCTTCCATCCTTCCCAGGTCGGTAAAATGAGTACGGGGGAGAGACATTGTGTAACCTGCATAATTAACTTCTAAACTTCCCAGAGGGTGCTTTTAAAAGCATAAATAACCAGCACACTTTGCTTGTGACCCAATGGTGCTGCCTTAAAAAGGGTTACCCAATGGGTCTGTCCCTGAAATCATCCTCTCCCATTAAACCCACCCCCATATATAATAGAAACGATTATTAATTATTAAACGATTTCCCTGGGAATAAGGTTGTGCATCCTTTAATGTTATAACACATTCTTTCAAACCCAGAATCTTGTTTTAAAAACATAATTGATCTATTAGCTCAATGAATAGGAAATCAATCAAACACAAAGATCACATTGTTTATTTCAGGGCATTAGGATAAATTGGAATATTTGAGTGTCCTAGGCCTGTCAATTTTACCAACTAAAATCCATCCCATAAATCCACCTCATAAGTGGGTCCTACATCTTAATTCTTGCTACTTTGCTCCTGGCAATGATGTATTAAAGGCTTAATGTGACTAACTAGATGGCTTCACTGGAAACCCAAAAAATTTATTGTGGGGATAGATTTCAACAAGCAATATGATTCACTTCCTAAAGGCTCTGCAAGAAATGTTTTGGGCTATCAAGCTGAAAACATAATGCTTTTAAATGCCTTACTGCAGCCTCAAACGCGATTACCACAGAGGGACAATCATTTCCATCCCTCCCATCACAGCCCTCAGACAAAGCATCCATGTGGAACTTCTCCTAACAGCCTGAAATCCCAAAACACCCTGGTACTTCAGACTTGTGTCAAGTTTTTATTGTTAACATTATATCACTAAAACGCACTGTGTTAAAGGTGGCTATAGTGCTCACAACAGATTCAGTCATTTCAGTACTGGAAAGTTACGGTTAAATCTGAATCTTAGCATTTCTTTTCCATTATCAAGTTTTAACCCTTACAATAACTCAGTCAGGCAGATCAGTATTATTAGCCCCATACTGCAAGTAGAAAAGTTGAAAACTATACAGGAAATCAATAAAGTTACAGGAATGCTGTAACTGACCCATGGCTGGCAGAACTGAAGTACCAATTTTTTATTTTTTTAAATTTCACGGATATAAAACCAGATCCTTGCATGTATATTCACCAAGAGCGGAGGTGAGCAATCCGGCCTCACCCTGCTCCTTTTCCAGGGTTGTCACAACATGTCTGAAGATGAGCAGCTCCACCCTCCTAGTGAGTTGGGACCCTTGAAAAATCAGGGTCCTGATTCATGTGAAAAGTGTTCAAGGATAGTGAAAGCTCTGCCTCAAACTCATTATCCTCTATGTGCAAAAAGGCAACAACACTGAAAATGGGAGAGGTGGGCCTCATCCCTCTTTTCTATCTGTGTTGAGCACAGGTGAAGTCATAACCCATAAACAAACCATCACCTTCCTTGGATATCTCTGTGCCCTCTAAACCTAGCTGTAACCCTCTCTAGGATGGATAGAGGCCACATATTTTCCCAGCAACAATATATCGGTATGGGCTATAGTTTTAGGGTAAATCAAGATCGATTAACATCACCAAAGACGTGCTGCTACTGAAGATGAAAACTGTTATATCTAGTTTGGTGACAAGAATCAGCACAAGTGCCTCCGTTTCGAGGGCCTCTTTGGGGGAAAGGCTACAGGGATTGTCACAATGACCACTTGCACTTTAGTGTTCACTACTACATCACTGGAACATGTGCAATGATCTATGGACCCACCACCCCACCTGTACAGTGGGGTCTTGACTTGAGAACTTAATCCGTATTGGAAGGTGGTTCTCAAGTCAAAAAGTCTGTAAGTCAAGTCTCCATTGACCTACAGTGCATTGAAAACCGATTAATCCCGTAACAGGCCGTTTTTGTTCCATTTTGGTTTTTTTCTGGTCTGTAAGTCAAATCTCAGTCTGCAAGTCAAACCTAAATTTTGCGGCCAGAGAAGTCTGTAACTCAAAAAGTCTGTAAGTCAAGCCGTCTGTAAGTCAAGGGTCCACTGTAGTTGAAACTGAGACACCTTTAGATATACAGTACAAGATGAGTCTGTGACATGCCAATTTTAAAAACAGCACAATGGAAGGTTTCACTAATGAGAAACTGTAATGGCCTTGAAAAAGAAATAATGATACCTGCACTTCATCACAAGAAAATAATAGGCTAGTGGGGGTGGGGGAGAGAACAAACATTGAAAACAAAGGCCTAATTCTTACTGAGAAGATAAACCTGCATTTGAGGGCAGTGTAGCAGTGGTGTAGCAGATGGAGGCTGGGGATCTTTAGTCTACCAAATGTTAATGTACCTACTTCCATCATCAGGTTGGAAGGGGCTGATGGGATCTGCAGTCCAACAACCTCTGGGAAGGGCACGTCATCCCCAAACTCTGAGTGGAAAGAAGTGTTTGGGAGGCGGAGTCTAGAGACGGCATGTTCTACACTAATTCCCTGCCTCATGAAAAGTGATCTAGAATAACACCCAAGCACAATCACGCAAAGTACTACTCCACTTTATGCACACCCACTACCCTAGACTATGGGTCAAGTTAACAGCAAAGGCCAGTGACCTCCCAGTGACACAGGACTGTCCTTTAATCCACTTGTCCAAGAGACACCATGCTAGCAGTGTGCCTTCCCCTTAAACACTGTCGTTTGACACTCCATTCACAGGCTCTGCTGTTGCTCTCCTTATCCTTAAATGCCCTTCAAAACATGCCAAAAAATACAGCATATGCAGTACTTGAAACTCTTTGAAGCACTTTGCTGTAATCCTTACAGCTAAAGGTGGGTAATTTGTAGTCCTTCAAATGCAGCTTTGGTCCAACGTCCATAGCTGCCATAGCTAATCAGCTCTATCCTAGCCAGCATACCCAGTGGTGAGAGACAACAGGAGCTGTGGTCCATAAACATTTGGAGGGCCATGGGTTGATCCGTCCTGTCTCACCATATCGCCCCCATGAGAAGAAGACCAGTATGATTATCCTGATATAATACAGACAGGGGACCAAGACTGAGATTATGGTCTAATATGCTAATACCCCCTAACAAAGTCATGGCCAGACAAGAATTGACACAAGCAGAACTCTGCAATGCTACACCCTATTATTAAGGCCTTTTGCCCTTCCTTGGCATCTGCTCCTTTTCTCTTCTTTGCTTCATTCTCACCATGGGCAACATATTTCTCCTCTATCAGATGGAAGAATTCCGTGCGTTAGAATAGATAAATAAAATAAATGTCCTCCCAATAAAACGCCTTTTGAATTGGCAGTGACAAGAAGGCACTCCCATCCTATTCCTCTCCCTACCCTAAGCAGAGGAAGAGGGTTGTAATGCCCACCCGCCCCCTCTTTTCTGGCAAGGCTCCTTGGTTTACAACAGCTGGATGCCAAGGAGCTCCTGCTTGGGCTTCGCGGGGTTGAGGGGCAGCTCTCTCTGCAGGATTCTTGCCTGCCAGGCGCGCGCGAGCGAGCGGGGAAGGGCGCGCGCGGGGGGGGAACCGGGGGCGGCGCGCGCCAACAGGTGACCTTACCGGCAAAGTTCTTGGTGAAGACCAGCGTGACCAGGAGGATGGGGATCAGGACGGTGCCGATGGTCACCACGCGGTCGAAGGGCAGCTCGAGCTTGAGCTGCAAGAGCAGCGCCGCCAGCGAGCCCGCCTTCTCGTCCTGCTGCCCGGGCAGGATCAGCTCCTTGAGTTTCTCGCCCGCCAGCAACGCCGTGGCCATGTCCGGGTGGTTTTCGATGATGTGTTGCATAAGCGGCGGCGGCGGCGGGGCGGAGGGCGCTCACCGGGCGGGCCGAGCGCCGCTCTCCCCTCGCCGAGGATCTCGCAGCACCGAGGCGCGTCTCCGCCTGCGGGGAGGAGAAGAGCAACAACAGCAACGACACGCGAGGAGACCGAGGGAGGCGCACGTGGGGAGGCGGCGGCGGCGAGGGAGGGGGGGAGGAGGACGCGGCCGGGACTCGCTAGCGGCAGAGGTACCATCTTTCGCCCAAGAGCCCCGTCCCTAAGGAGACTGCGGCAGGTCGTC